TGGACGACGTTGCCCTTGAATGCAGCGCAGATGTCCACGGCGGCTCTCGCAGAGTGTCCTTGGAGGAACTCGTAGTAGACGATGAGGCGAAGAGTTGCTTGTTCGATCGGAGCATGGCTGCCAACTAATGGCAGAAGCCGCCTTATATTCCCCCGTGGGCAGAAGCTTCGAGAACATTCCAGCACATACAAATGCAAAGCCCCGCCCATCATTCCTTTGAAATTTTTTATAAATAGTCTTAGAAAGTGTTGCAAGACTTTCTTTCCTACCCAATACTTAGACTGCTGGATTCAATTTATTTTCACCTTTAGGGCTCCAAAAAAATAAACTATTGATTCTTAAATAAAATTACATTCTTTGTCTATACAGAGAATTTTCGGTGTTGAAGGGGTACCTCAGGTTAAGCACATTTTCCAAAAAAACTGACATTCCTGAAATATTTTGGAGAATTAGCCTTTTTCTGTGAGGAGTATGATGTCACCCCTAAATCAGTGATTTCTTTTTTTTTCATTTCGGACCGGTCAGCACGTAACGTAGGGATAAGGAGCCGTTGGACCAGTAGGGTGTGCATTTGAAAAGGATCTCATGGTGAATGGGCGTGTAGTAACATATGACACAATCAATCATGGTAATGACTTGCCATGAAAAAATATTTATTCATGAAAGAAACATCGGTACAAGGGATTCGAAAAATGAACTTCTTTCCTTCTGAAACAAGTAAAGGATGTCTCTCAAAAAAATGAACGCTGTAATGATGACTTTGGTATTATTTTGAACTTGATTTTTTAAAAGGTTGCGTTAGAAAGAGAATAGGTTAAGCTTTCATTTGTTGAGAGTGATATGAAATTCGACTCTTTCTAAATATGGAAAAGTGAAAATTTGGCTTGATGAAGTACAAGATCAAGGCGTGTTCTTCCTCGAAGCCATCGCGACATCAGACGCTTAGTGACGTTTTCCACAGCTGACTGACTTGTTCCTGCTCTAGTTTTATAGATTGAGAGAGATGAGTCGCCAAGAAGTTCTTTTATTCAATGATTCCTGTGGAATTTTCACTGCCAAATGCCCAAGAACTAGCAATAGAATGAAGAGCATCCCGGCAGTACACTCGTGACTCACTAGCTTCTTCGAGTGCTTCCTTTGCCGGATTCTTTTGTTTAGACTCTTTGCAGTGGTTCGTCAGCTTGTCCAAATTTGACTAAGGAAAACGTTTTCTTTTCACATCACACTTCTGAGATCATTGATCTGCGTATAATCTTCAGCATTGGAAAGCTTTATCCATTCGCATGCTAACAGCTACAACAAAATTCATTAAATTTGTATATGGCGCAAAAAAGTAATCATGTACCATTAATTTTTCTTCGGACCCACTGTACCGTGCATTCCATTACTTTCATATGTGGAGATTCTTGAGATTGTGGGGCAATCATTTCAAACTTATCATCAAGAGAGGGTTACATAAGAACTCTCTAGGCTTAACACGGTCATTTTCACCCCCAAATGCCGTGTCACTTTTTAGTCAAATGACAACAGTTTATATGCAGTTATTATTTTGAATCTAATTTGGTAACTTGTTTTTTTTTTGTAGTTCCCGTACTATTCAAAGGTGTCGCCCCGTATCTCATCTGTTTCCATCCGTGGGTATTGACTGTCCCGTATTTCATTCTTTGGCACGTTATTAAAGATTTTCGATTTGAAATCCTCATCTATTTCGAAGTACTCGGGATTGTCATTGTCCGGGACGAATACAGATGACTCCTTTTGCAAATCCAGGGTCAATCCCCGTGGCTGAAGGTATTCTTCTTCGAATCCTCCTGGTGCCATTCGTTGCAAGTAGTCTGGGTGTGCCTTGAAGTGCTCGGCGTTCATTTCCTCGTATGACTTGTTCAGCTCCAAAATGCGCTGCAGAAAAGCAGATGACATATTGGATGACATATTGTAAAGGAATACTCTTATGTGATTGGTACGGGCATAGGATCAATATTTACTTGACGTTCACCGTCCGCCATCATAGAAGCGAACCATACACTCAGTAAGGAAAATGTTGGTCGATCATTTGGATTCGCTTCCCAGCACTTCCTCATGATTTGATAGCTGTACAACAAGAAAGAAGAAAATGGTAATGAAACGAATTCAGTTAATATTCAGTTCGTAGTGGGTAATAAGTATTTTAGTGGTCTCACATAGGTTCATTGGCGTAATCCGGAGACTCCAAGCGATAGTCGGCTTGCAGGCGCTGGATGAGTTCTCCAAATTTCATGCCTGTATATGGAGTCTTCCCAAGGGTGAAAATCTCCCAGAGTGTTATTCCGTATGCCCAAACGTCTGATTTGTTTGTATAAACTTTCTCATGTATGAGTGATTCCAAAGCCATCCATTTATAAGGTACTGGACCCTAGAAGAATCAGGTACTGGGACAATGATAATAATACATCAAATGATGTAACGAGGAAATTTTCGTGTAAGGAACTCACATCTCCTTCCTTGTTGTACTGATTGTTTACATGGATATCCCTGGCATAGCCAAAGTTTGATATCTTCAAGACGTTTTCTTCTGCCAGGAGAATGTTTCTGGCCGCCAAATCTCGATGGACGATCTACAATGCCATGAAATACTTCCTACCTTTCATCTGGCTTCTCTTTCAAGGTCATGCTAGTGCGCCGTTTGTTGATTATCATTTGAAGAGTTCTCTGGAAAAGGGGCGTATGTGCCCGTACGCCCTTTTTCCATGTCCCTGTCCATGCGCTGCTTTAGGTGACTAATCATAGGGTAGGATTGTCAGTAAGTAGTTAACATGCGTATTCAGCAAAGGAAAAACAGATTTTCCTAAGCTCTACAACCAGGCAATTTAAATATGGCTGCCTCAATGAATACTCCATTAGTATTTGCATGCTGAACGATTTTGTAGGAATTATTTCGCCCTTTCAAACTTAAAGTAAAAATGAGGAAGAAACTGGACATGAGGAAAGGGAAAGAAAGAGGCGGAGTCATTCAAGCCTCTGGAAGGATGTGAGAAGTTGGAGATATCCATGAAATAGTTGCAGATTTAGATGATGATAGAATAAATAATGGATCACTGCTGAGTATTTGGTGAATCAAATGTGTCCTGAATATTTGCATTTTCGTTGCTATTACTCAAGAAAGAGATTATTTGAAATCTGTAGATGCATTTATTGATTAATTATTATTTTTTAACTGGAAAGAAGTTGTGAAAGACTCGGAAAAAGTTTCAGTAGCGCGGATATAGAAAAAGGACGCATGTGTATAAACATTTTCTGCCTGCATCACAGCTATGTGAGAAAAAAAATCATTAAAACACCAAGTTCAATAGGAAAAGGTCTAAGATACCATTTAACTAGGTTTTGACCAGCTTCAGATTACCTGTGGAAAGTTTTTATCATTTATCTCGAATTGCATATTTTGCACATACGTCATTTCCCCAGAGAACTCCTTAATTCTAAGCTTGACGATTTCTCAATAGTGTTCGAATTGTAGCGATGCTTTGTGGTTTTGATCATAAGGCTATGATGCACAAACATTCCCTTTCGGTAAAGAATGAAAAATGAATTCAGCGAATTTGACTGGAAAATTTTGCTTGGATAATGCCGGAATTTGGGTCAAGAGGCGATGGGTTTCGATGGGAAAAAAGTGTCATGTTCAATATTCATTGTTTTCCTTTAATTGGAAAACTAACGCTATATTTTTTGTATCAGATTAGCGGTATAAGTTCGGCCATGTTCTCAAGTGCAAAACAATGTTTAGTAGTTGAGCTCTAGAAACACCACACCTTTCGTGAACTCAAGTACTCCATGCCTTGAGATATCTGGTAGGCCCAGGACACCAGATCTTCCCTAGTGAAGGACGCAAGGAGATTGATCCCTTTGGAGATCTCCCCTTTTTTCCCGATATTCGTTTCCATTCCTTGTCCATGTTCCCTTCCTGAAATTTAGTCATTTTTATGTAATTTTAATATGTGCTAATTCAATTCAATATGTGTAATTAAATGATCAATTATGTCAATGGGCAAGGGTCTAGAAATTATACTTAGAGAATCTAATATATATAGACCATCGTGACTGACAGACTGACAGACTGACGCTAATTCTAACCATGTTCTAGAAGGGTTAGAAATCTGAAACTTGGTACACATGTACCTTTTGGGATGCCGAGTTCAGAAAAAGTCCGACTTTGGAAGTACATACCCCTGGGGGTACAAATTTTCGGGGGGGAAATGTTTTTCTTAAATATATATTGTGACAGATGAGAATGGCATTCATAAAGTCAACTGGATGTCCTGGTTAGGGTGGTGTAATAGAGGCATATCTGACCGGCAATCTGGAGGTCCTGGTTCAATTCCCGGCCATTCCTTGGCTTTCTCTTGGCGTCTTTTGCCTTCCATGTCCCGTAATTCGTTCCCCCTCCATAACATTATATTTGCTTGAGTAAAACGGAGAGAGATGGAAAGCTGAAACCTGGCACGGACGTGTTTACCGAGACGATGAGTTCAGGAAAAATGCACAATTTTAGATACATGCCCTGGGGGGTATTTTTTTGGGCGATGTTTTCGAGTATTTTTTTGTTGTCCTGGCTAATTGAGGTGCTGTCGAAAGATGAAACCTGGTACCTATTGGGATGCTGCAGAAAAAATCAGACTCTGGAAGTAAATGTCCTGGGGGCACAAATATCAAAGGGAGATGGTTTCATGTAATTTATTTGCATTATTTAAACATTATGAACATGGAAAGCTGGATCGTTGCATGAATGTGACTACCGAGACAAGGAGGTAAAGAAAAATGTTAAGTCTCGATACATCCCCTGGGGAATTTTTTCGAGGGGCGATGTTTTGAAAAAAAATATTGTCTTGGCGAATTGGACAGAAATGGAAAGGTGAAACGTAGCACACGTGACATGATAGTAATGAGTAGAGGGAATAGTCAGCTTTCATGGTGCATCCCCTCCCGGCATAGCTTTTGGGTGGGTCGGCTTTTCCAAGCATGTATTTTCACCAGCGAAAAGGGCAAACGTATAATATATTGAACTTTTGTGGGCACTGAGGATGGATTTCGGTATTTAAAAAAATGTTAATTTTTGGTTTAAAACGGCTCTGCGCACATATTTTTCAAAAACCGTATTTTCCCGAAATTTCAGATCCAGCAAAACAAAGGGCGCATGAAAGTTTAAACTTGGCAAAGTACCTGAGCAATAGCTGAGTAAAGATGAAAATCTAATTTTATTATATATAGACGATCGTGAGTCGCTGACTGACTGTATTAAGTAACTATTCGTATGCGGAGTTTAGAAAAATTTTTTACTTTAGTGATGCATGCCATAGGACCACAACTTTCAGGGGACTTATTTTTAAATTGTTCTCTTTGATTCAATCAAACGGAGATACATGGAAAGCTGAAACTTGGCAATAACGTGACTGTTGACGCACTGCGATCAAATGTCAAACGTCAAATTTACAAAATATTTTTGGGGTTTATATTTCTTGGGGACGTAACGTTTTCAAATAATATTTCATATCCTACCGAATCGGGCAGAAATATGAAAGTTTCTGGAGCACACATAACCGACGTAATGTTGATTTAAGGAAAAAATCCAACTTCTTTGTGCGTCTCCTCAGAGCATAGTTTTTGGGTGGGTAGCTTTTCCAAATACATTTTTTCCGACAGGAAAAAGGGGAAACGTATAAGGCTGAAACTGGGTCGCACGGAGTTCCCTTAGTGTACATTTCAAAAGAAAAAAAAATTCCGTTAAAGCCCATCAGGGCACTTTTTTTCAGTCCCATTTTCAAGATTTTTTTTAGTCCAACGAACGAGAGACAGAAAATTTAAACTTCCCTCAGAAGTTTGATGGCTAAGTACAGGAAAAGTCCTACTTTTTAAATGTGTCTTCTTAGCGGAGATTATTGGAGGGAATTATTTCAGAATGTATTCTTCCCCCTTACAAAAAGGGACAGAAGAAAAGATTTCAAGTTTGGAATAGAATCATGGATGCAATGATTTTGATAAAAATCAGGAATTTCGACCCCATTTGTCATGCATTTCAATGGGGACATACTTAAAAAAAAAACATGTTTCCCATTTCGCAAAAAATGAATGAATGACTATCCATGGTAATGGAGCGCCGAAGTCGCTACCAGTTTATAATAGTTTATAATAGTTATAACTAAAGAAATCTCCAAACTTTATTAATCTCGTAAAGGAAATATAAGAGGCAGGATTTCGCACTATTTAATTCCATATGTCAAACGACCTTTAAATTCAAGTCTGACACGATAGAATCAGGAGAAGAATGAGCTGGGATGGATTGAAACGTAAGTTTACAAAATAAAGGAGGCCATAAACATTTTCGGATACTGGGGAAAAGATTCTTAAAATCGGAGGTGAAAGCGGCAAAGAATGTAATGTTAGAGGCTTCAGAAATTCCATTGGTAAAAGGGAAGTAAGTCCTACTGGCGTTCTTGTTTGATTCGATTTGAGCCGTGAGTACCATGGGTAGGATTACAAATTCAGATTCAGATTCCCTTCCTTCTCTGATAAAAAGTATGTTTAGGTAAGCTGGAACAAATTCGACTAAAATCCTTATTTTAAAGAAAAGTTTACCCAACAGGTGCATCTCTGGAATTACCAAATTAGATACCTGGAAGCAGGTGAGCGTCGGCCTGAAGACATTGCTCTCCAATCTTGGTTTTATTACCAGTGTGATGATCAATTCCATTCTTGAAGTTTGATCGATATTTTCTCAGAAGATGCTCCAGATTCCCATGCCGACAGTACTCCACGATGACCATCAGATCACCTACGAGAAAAGTCAACAAATGTTTTTGGTTGGACTAAATATTACAAGGTGACAAATAAGTTCTGTCCTTCCAGCTCACAAATGCTCAGCTACACGCTAGGTAACTTATAATCAAACGGCTGCTCAAAATGTTCTCTACGTGCAATCATTCTAGCGTAAGAACGACGACGCCACTCGAGGACTGCAACACGCAGATTCTTTTGTGGAATTTCCTACGTTGTTTGAGCAAGGAGAAGAAACTTCAGAAATCTAGCACTGGTGTGAGGGCGTGGACAGATCTTTGCCCCCAACAGTGACCACAAGCGGCCGTCCAAGGGATTGAGATCTGAAGATAAATGGGGGCAAATTAGTTCACATGACTGAGACCGGCTTGTTTTGCCCCAACCTTTGCTGAGCCACTTTGGCAGATTGGCCTGAGGTAGAATCCTGCCAAAAATGTTAGTTTTGGTTGTTGGGAACGTTCTGACTGTAGTGCTTCACCACGGATGCCAAAATCAGCTCGCAGCACTGATGCCTATCCATTTTGGTTGTTTCTGGCACAAAAATCAGGTTTCATTTCCTGAAGCTCCAGTCCAATCAATATCGTCAACCCTCTGCCACCCAGAAACGATTCTCGGCTCAGATGGTATATCCGCTAGGTTGGTAGCTAGCAGGTCATAGTTATGGGCGTTGAAAACCTACTTTGTCCAACATATCTAATTTAGGAAGAGGGTAAGCAAACTTGAGGGTAAGCTCAACGTCGTCAGAGAACCATTCCAACAGAGTTTCGTTTCGGTCGAGTCTTTCGCGTCGGGTAGCTGATGTCAGTCCGTGAGGACTGGACTCTTTCTAGGGACGCATGCAAAGGTCCCTTGTGACCAACAGCCGCTTTGATTCCCGATGAATCTTAATCTCAGCAGAACTCTTCCTCATTGACCAATTTTCTATTCTGCTTCACATGACTCTTCCCATTTTTTTTCCAGTGGCGTCCGAACAGTGTGAGGATGGCCCCTTCTTCTTCAGTCGTCTGGGCGCCAGGTCTCTACAAAAATTTGACAGTTCGACGAAGACCCCCCTGCGATAATTCGTAGGTTCCCAGCATTGTCAAGTCGTTAGCTTGAGAGTAGCCCTCTAATGGAAAGTCACGACCCCACATCTACGTTTCCCCAATGTCAAGGCTATGAGTGCTTAAGGAAAACCTGGCTTGACGGCGACGGTGAGGATCCATAAAATCCAGTAATATATTGTACTAGCGAATTTGTATGCCCTTCGGGGAAATAAACTCGCTATGAACGCAGCTTTGGTGCGTTTTGCTCCATAAAAGATTAATAATAATACAATTGGAGCATCCCCTTTTCGATTCTCATAACTACAAATTAGGTAAAACTCTTTGGATCATTAGAATCTTTTATCGTGAGTTTAAGCTACTCCTGCTTGTGTGAAGTGATTTTCAATCTGATGTTTGAAACATGAATCAGACATACCTCGTACTTAATAGCCTCATAACTGTGACTTTAGAGTTCATCCTCAATACAGCAAGACTATAAGAATCAGCTTTCTCTGAGAGATATTGTGCTTCTGAGTTTACTCAATCCCCCCCTAAGCAAATAATCTCTAGTAATAAGTAAACAATTCTGAGAACTTTTTGCAAACGAAATATATGCCCAGGGGTGCGTAACCTTAAAAAAAATTACATTTTTAGGTTTGCTGAGGAGGCCCTCTAGAAATATGAACATATCTTTGATGTTGGTTTAGGGCCGAAACTGGGCATGCTCCTTGTGCCCCCTCGGCATTTAACTCCAAAGTCTGAATTTTTCTGAATTCAGGTCCTCATTATGTACATACGAGGGGCTTTTCATAAGTCTGGACAGTCGGGTACTTGCCGTCGTCAGAGGTGGACGTTTGCATTTTTTTTCACGTTCCTTGATCCCATTTTACCCTTTGCAATCATTTTTCTCGCCTCCAGGAAACAATGGAGACGAGAAACAAAAATTCGAGTGCTTTCGGTCGCGTTGAAAAACCAGTGTTCACAAAAGAGCTCATCCGGTGGTTCATTCTTTATGACTTTCTGTGTGGCCTGAAGCCCACCAGGTGTTTTGAAAAATTAAAAACTGTTATGGATGATGAAGTTCCAACTCTGTCGATGATTTCCAAGCGATTTCGGCGGTTCGAAAGTGGAGACTTTGTCGTGGAGGACGCCCAAAATCGTCAACAGACGACACAAATGTGGTGGCAGTGAAGACAGCAATTGAGGTTGATGACCGAATTACACTCGAAAAGCTTGAAGAGACCCTAGGCATAGAGGCCACGTCGATTTGACGAATTTTAACCCAAGATCTTGGCTTCTCGAAGAAGGCCGCCAAATGGGTTCCCCACCAGCTCACGCCTGAGCAGAAAGCACCTAGCGTCAATTTCTGCCTCCAGTCCCTCAAAAGGTTCGATGAAGGGGCTTCATCTGCATGGAAAAAACTTGTGACAGGTGACGAGACGTGGTTTTACAACTGTGATCCTGAAATGAAGTCTCAATCCATGGTGTGGTCCGAAAAAGGAGCGGCTCCTCCAAAGAATTTTCGCCTGGTCAGGTCAGCTGGCAGAACCATGTTCGCCATTTTCTTTGGATATCATGGACCTGTGGAAGCAGTTCCCCTCGAAGAACGAAAGACTGAACTCTGAGTGGTACACTGAAGTCTGTCTACCGAAAGTGTTCGAAAAGATCCTCAATATTCGCCACAAGAAGGAGTTGCGCCGCCACATTCTCCACCATGACAACGCATGTACTCACACTGCCAGAAAGACTCTTGACTTCATTGCCGACTCTGGCATTGATTTACTGACCCCACCTCCCTATTCTCCGGATCTGGCGCACTGTGACTTCTGGCTACTCCCTAAACTGAAGGAGCCCCCTGCGTAGAAAAATGTTTTCAACTCGAGAAGAGCTGGTTTCAGCAGTTCAAGAGCAGCTGTCCGCCCTGAAACCTGAGAATTTCAAGCACTACTTTGATCGCTGGATATACCGAATGAAAAAGTGTGTTGAAGTTGGTGGTGATTATGTTTAAAGGACTTGCATTACTTCCTGGTGAGTTGAAAATGGTCAAATATTTTCTGTTCGTTTCAAGACATTTTCTGCGCAAAAAGTAATTTAGTGCCCAAACCTTTGAAAAGCCCCTCGTATGTATCGGGCTTCACTTTTTTTATCTCGAACCAATTCCGTGAGACAAAAAAATATTTAAAAACGTTATCCCCAAAAGTATGCCCCAGGGCATGCATCAAATACTTGATATTTTCCCTGAACTTCGTGTCTCAGTAAGCACGTCCATGCCAAGTTTCAACTTTCCTTGTCTCTCCGTTTGTGTCTATGCTCTAAGTTTGCACTTTCTTTTTTTGTATTTTTTAAAAAACATTTTTACTTTAATCAGTACACGGAGAACTATGGGCATACAAAGTATCAGACTTATCCGTTTGGTATTTTTCTGGTGCAAAAATATCTTTGGAAAAGCCGACATATCTGAAAGATGTGTCCTGGGGGTATACACCACAAAACCTGAATTTTTCTGAACTCACCTTCGCCTCAGTTATTGCTGTGCCAAGTTTCACATTTCTTTCTCTATACAATTGTGGAAAAGAAAAAGTTTTTTGGAAATGTCACACCCCATAATTATGCCCCCAGGGCATGTATCCAAAATTTGACGTTTTTCCTGAACACGGAGTCGGAGTAGGCACGGCATGCCCATGTCAAATTTTAGCTTTCCACGTCTCTCCGTTTGACTGAAGCAAATATATATAATTGAAAACATATCCACCGATAATGGGTGCCCCAATGTGTCTACCTTCAAAGTCGGATTTTTCCAAACTCTGGATCCCAAAAGGTACTTGTGTAAAAAGTTTCAGATTTCTAACTTCTCTAGAGTATGGTTAGAATTAGCGTCAGTCAGTCACTCAGTCATGATTGTCTACATATATTATATGAGTTAGTGTAAGCAGCGCTCCATTGAGAACTACTCAGTTTCCAAATTAGGGACAAAATATATTTGTCACCATGTACTTTTGCTCAAAAAAGCCATACTAGAAAAATTGAAACATTAAGTTCCTTTCAAACAAATGATGCACTGTGTGAAATGTGTTTTTCCTAAACAAAAGTATGCCTGCGTCAGACAAGTCCATTCTCACCATTTGCGGAACCTCTCCAAAGGTACATCAATCAATCCAAAACTTTTTTTTCACTATATATTTTAAATAACCCAAAGTTATCATAGCAAACCAAAAATTATTCAGAGAGACGACTCCTACAACATATTGATCGAAAATGAGCCTCATTATCATGGAGTAATCCAACATTTGCAGCGTTGAGTTTGGAGCGACTCAAATTAAGCCATTAGCAAAACCTGAGCCTCTTGGTTGGATGATGCAGTCGCTGCTTAGGAAGAGGGTAAGCAAACTTGAGGGTAAGCTCAACGTCGTCAGAGAACCATTCCAACAGAGTTTCGTTTCGGTCGAGTCTTTCGCGTCGGGTAGCTGATGTCAGTCCGTGAGGACTGGACTCTTTGTAGGGACGCATGCAAAGGTCCCTTGTGACCAAAAGCCGCTTTGATTCCCGATGGATCTTAATCTCAGCAGAACTCTTCCTCATTGACCAATTTTCTATTCTGCCTCACATGACTCTTCCCTTTTTTTTTCCAGTGGCGTCCGAACAGTGTGAGGATGGCCCCTTCTTCGTCAGTCGTATGGGCGCCAGGTCTCTACAAAAATTTGACAGTTCGACGAAGACCCCTCTGCGATAATTCGTAGGTTCCCAGCATTGTCAAGTCGTTAGCTTGAGAGTAGCCCTCTAATGGAAAGTCACGACCCCACATCTACGTTTCCCCAATGTTAAGGCTATGAGTGCTTAAGGAAAACCTGGCTTGACGGCGACGGCAAGGATCCATAAAATCCAGTAATATATTGTACTAGCGAATTTGTATGCCCTTCGGGGAAATAAACTCGCTATGAACGCAGCTTCGGTGCGTTTTGCTCCATAAAAGATTAATAATAATACAATTGGAGCATCCCCTTTTCGATTCTCACAACTACAAATTAGGTAAAACTCTTTGGATCACTAGAATCTTTTATCGTGAGTTTAAGCTACTCCTGCTTGTGTGAAGTGATTTTCAATCTGATGTTTGAAACATGAATCAGACATACCTCGTACTTCATAGCCTCATAACTGTGACTTTAGAGTTCATCCTCATTACAGCGCCTTCTATAGCAAGACTATAAGAATCAGCTTTCTCTGAGAGATATTGTGCTTCTGAGTTTACTCAATCCCCCCCTAAGCAAATAATCTCTAGTAATAAGTAAACAATTCTGAGAACTTTTTGCAAACGAAATATATGCCCAGGGGTGCGTAACCGTAAAAAAAAATTACATTTTTAGGTTTGCTAAGGAGGCCCTCTAGAAATATGAACATATCTTTGATGTTGGTTTAGGGCCGAAACTGGGCATGCTCCTTGTGCCCCCTCGGCATTTAACTCCAGTCTGAATTTTTCTGAATTCAGGTCCTCATTATGTACATACGAGGGGCTTTTCATAAGTCTGGACAGTCGGGTACTTGCCGTCGTCAGAGGTGGACGTTTGCATTTTTTTCATGTTCCTTGATCCCATTTTACCCTTTGCAATCATTCTTCTCGCCTCCAGGAAACAATGGAGACGAGAACAAAAATTCGAGTGCTTTCGGTCGCGTTGAAAAACCAGTGTTCACAAAAGAGCTCATCCGTTGGTTCATTCTTTATGACTTTCTGTGTGGCCTGAAGCCCACCAGGTGTTTTGAAAAATTAAAAACCGTTATGGATGATGAAGTTCCAACTCTGTCGATGATTTGCAAGCGATTTCGGCGGTTCGAAAGTGGAGACTTTGTCGTGGAGGACGCCCAAAATCGTCAACAGACGACACAAATGTGGTGGCAGTGAAGACAGCAATTGAGGTTGATGGCCGAATTACACTCGAAAAGCTTAAAGAGACCCTAGGCATAGATGCCACGTCGATTTGACGAATTTTAACCCAAGATCTTGGCTTCTCGAAGAAGGCCGCCAAATGGGTTCCCCACCAGCTCACGCCTGAGCAGAAAGCACCTAGCGTCAATTTCTGCCTCCAGTCCCTCAAAAGGTTCGATGAAGGGGCTTCATCTGCATGGAAAAAACTTGTGACAGGTGACGAGACGTGGTTTTACAACTGTGATCCTGAAACGAAGTCTCAATCCATGGTGTGGTCCGAAAAAGGAGCGGCTCCTCCAAAGAATTTTCGCCTGGTCAGGTCAGCTGGCAGAACCATGTTCGCCATTTTCTTTGGACATCATGGACCTGTGGAAGCAGTTCCCCTCGAAGAACGAAAGACTGAACTCTGAGTGGTACACTGAAGTCTGTCTACCGAAAGTGTTCGAAAAGATCCTCAATATTCGCCACAAGAAAGAGTTGCGCCGCCACATTCTCCACCATGACAACGCATGTACTCACACTGCCAGAAAGACTCTTGACTTCATCGCCGACTCTGGCATTGGTTTACTGACCCCACCTCCCTATTCTCCGGATCCGGCGCCCTGTGACTTCTGGCTACTCCCTAAACTGAAGGAGCCCCCTGCGTGGAAAAATGTTTTCAACTCGAGAAGAGCTGGTTTCAGCAGTTCAAGAGCAGCTGTCTGCCCTGAAACCTGAGAATTTCAAGCACTACTTTGATCGCTGGATATACCGAATGAAAAAGTGTGTTGAAGTGGTGGTGATTATGTTGAAAGGACTTGCATTACTTCCTGGTGAGTTGAAAATTGTCAAATATTTTCTGTTCGTTTCAAGACATTTTCTGCGGAAAAAGTAATTTAGTGCCCAAACTTTTGAAAAGCCCCTCGTATATATCGGGCTTCACTTTTTTTTATCTCGAGCCAATTCCGTGAGACAAAAAAAATATTTAAAAGCGTTATCCCCAAAAGTATGCCCCAGGGCATGCATCAAATACTTGATATTTTCCCTGAACTTCGTGTCTCAGTAGGCACGTCCATGCCAAGTTTCAACTTTCCTTGTCTCTCCGTTTGTGTCTATGCTCTAAGTTTGCACTTTCTTTTTTTGTATTTTTTTAAAAACATTTTTACTTTAATCAGTACACGGAGAACTATGGGCATACAAAGTATCAGACTTATCCGTTTGGTATTTTTCTGGTGCAAAAATATCTTTGGAAAAGCCGACATATCTGAAAGATGTGTCCTGGGGGTATACACCACAAAACCTGAATTTTTCTGAACTCACATTCGCCTCAGTTATTGCTGTGCCAAGTTTCACATGTCTTTCTCTATACAATTATGGAAAAGAAAAAGTTTTTTGGAAATGTCACACCCCATAATTATGCCCCCAGGGCATGTATCCAAAATTTGACGTTTTTCCTGAACACAGAGTCGGAGTAGGCACGGCATGCCCATGTCAAATTTTAGCTTTCCACGTCTCTCCGTTTGACTGAAGCAAATATATATAATTGATAACATATCCACCGATAATGGGTGCCCCAATGTGTTTACCTTCAAAGTCGGATTTTTCCGAACTCTGGATCCCAAAAGGTACTTGTGTCAAAAGTTTCAGATTTCTAACTTCTCTAGAGTATGGTTGGAATTAGCGTCAGTCAGTCACTCAGTCATGATTGTCTACATATATTATATGAGTTAGTGTAAGCAGCGCTCCATTTAAAACCACTCAGTTTCCAAATTAGGGACAGAATATATTTGTCACCATGTACTTTTGCTCAAAAAAGCCATACTAGAAAAATTGAAACATTAAGTTCCTTTCAAACAAATGATGCGCTGTGTGAAATGTGTTTTTCCTAAACAAAAATATGCCTGCGTCAGACAAGTCCATTCTCACCATTTGCGGAACCTCTCCAAAGGTACATCAATCAATCCAAAATTTTTTTTTCATTATATATTTTAAATAACCCAACGTTATCATAGCAAACCAAAAATTATTCAGAGAGACGACTCCTACCACATATTGATCGAAAATGAGCCTCATTATCATGGAGTAATCCAACATTTGCAGCGTTGAGTTTGGAGCGACTCAAATTAAGCCATTAGCAAAACCTGAGCCTCTTGGTTGGATGATGCAGTCGCTGCATACGTCGCATCATATTTTAAAATTATGATTATTTGCGCATCAAGTTTTCAAGTTTGGTTTGTGGAAGCTTTCAAAACAGTCTATGTTGAAAATAATCCAAAATATTACCATGGAATCCCCAAGCTTTGTTATATCCGTCACATCTACCCTCAGCTGATTCAAATATATTTTAATTTTCTGGCAAACCGTTTTTTTTTGGGTACGCTGAAAGGAATTAAGCTTTTTTTGTCATCTGAGGAAAGCTATTCACTTGTGGGTTCTAGGCACTAACGAGACGTTATTCCCATGTCAAGGTAAAAAAGGAAATATGTAGGATATTACGAGGTACCTGGAACATACATTATGAAAAAAAGCGATTGTTGCATCGTTGAGGACGGACTTTTTCAGGAAACTGAAATGTGAATGTTTTTGTTTATATCATTGGGTAATAAATAACGAAGAAACTCACCATCGACCATATTTTCTGAACACGCTCCAAGGAAATTCACCACGTTTAAGTGCTTTCCAAGGTGACTCATGATCTTCATTTCCATCATAAGTTTCTTGAAATGCACGAGGTCACCGTGAGGCTTGCTTTTCTTCACAACAACTGTTGTCTCAGGTTCGGAGGGCCTGATGCCCCGAGCCACGGCCTTAATGACAATACCGAAAGTCCCCCGGCCAAGCTCCTCCCCTATTAAGATAGTAACCACAATTGATATCGTTACCAGTCAAGGCGATTCTGTTCGAGAATGGGGTCATACCTAATCGTAGCCTCTTTGCTGGGAATTCCCAGTGCTCGTCATAAGGCAGAAGATCTGCTTGTTCACTGAGGCTCAATGGGGGATTGATGTTCATGGGCTCTCCTCTTCGAAATCGCTCAGTCTCTTTCTTTGGCAATGTAATTTTGCGGGCCTGCAAGGTTCAAGAACACAATATATAGCATATAACATGGTGATGGAATTCCACTTATGGAAGATGGCTTACTTGCTCTTTCCGTAATCGGTAGTAGAAAATGGAGCTAATGGTGATAATCACGATGATAATAGCTACAACAGAAGTCGCTGCGATGAAGGTTGCATCAGTGAAGCTTGTTTTTGGCAGATCTTTTTCACCTGCCAATATAGAGAGTGCCAATGACCTTCCCTCATGCATGACAAATAACATATATAGTAAACACAGTCCAACAAGCCTAACACATGCAGCAAAACTGCAATTGGAAATGATGCTGAAGCGACCTGGTAACGGAGAAACCCATGAAAAACAAGAACGTTTAGGAGAACGTTACGTTCAACGCTGACGGAAAGAGATTCATGACGTCTAAGGTTCCGGGATTATCAACTCTTGGACGCTCAATTAAAGATGCCGTTTAAACACTGATGTTCTTGAAGGACATTCGTTAACGTTAAAAAGGTGCTAGTTGTGAGCAAGGTTGTTATCTATTTGACAGTGACTGGAAACAAATGTTCACCCAATCGACGCTAGATGACGCAAAAAATCCGCTATAGCAAGTCAGTATCTCATACAACGGATTAGTCTCTACTGCATTCTTTCAGGTGCCCCATCTTATCGCCGCACAGGCATCACAGAGGAATCTCCAGAAAATTTTATCCTGATGGGTGGAGGGAATCGGTGCACTTCGGAATGTCGAAAGAAGTAATGTCGACAAGGAACTAGTCGAAGGCGAAAAATGTTGATGGAGAGAATGTAGAAGTACAGACATGTTGAGAGGAGAAAAGGCGGATGGAGTAATTGGCAAAAAGGACGTTAAATGCACTATTTAGAGTCTAGACGGAGTATTTTCTTGCCTTTCTGAGGCTCGACAAATGTCAGATTCGAGTTCATTGCACACAAGGGTGGAGAAGCGGAGAACGAAAAACCGATGTCAGATGATTTGAATTAAATAATGCTCGCGTGACACACGGTACTTGCCCATGAAATGGCTTCATCGTGGGACTCAGTCGCATTTAAAGGTTAAATTATATGCAATGACATCACCGAGCTGCCAGTCAAGGCTTCATGAGGGACATAAAGCAGATAAGGCAGAAGGTGAAAGTGACCTCCTGATTTTCTAGTTATATGCACAGACAGTGAAGTTCGAATCGTTCCAACAGTCCCTTGATCGAGGGAGTATATCGAGGAGCATATCGTTCGAACCAAAACATGTTTACACATTCCCATAGAACGATCAATACAAAGTCACATTTCGACATTCGACATGATTCGACATTTCCCCCTCGTCGATGTTATAGAATTCTAGCTCCATTCCATTCGACATTAAGCATAAACGACACTTCATGACATCTACATTCTTGCCCTTCGACATTACTACGTTTCTCCGTTTCCTCATTCGACATTCCGACTTACACCCGAAGGGAAAATGGTTTAGTTTCCTTGCTCACTTCATGAAAGGTGTCGTACGACACATGAAAGGACGGTATCCCTATCATCTAGTCCTTAAATTGAAAGAGACTGAAAGTGATGGGGAATGGTTGTCACTCATCTGTGGCTTAACATGCAAGGCCTACTAGGCTTTGCTATTCTAGGCAATGAGCTAAGTCATAAGAAAATTGGTATAATTTTAAACTACTTTTAAAAGACTGGTGGTGGCAATTACCAAAGGGTGTGTCACGAGTCCTGCCCACCATTTATAACTAACTAGTGCAAAAGCCCGTGCTTGCACGTGCCAAAATAAATCGAATTAAAGCATTTTGTGCATGTCTTTCTGCTCTTTCTTCGTCAGTTTCACTGTTGTCGTTCATTTATGCTTAGAGCGATGGCTCTTTCCCCGTCCCCCAGCATTGCTGGATATCGTCCTGGTGCTATATCAGATTCATGACTGTTTCGGCCTTGGCATCGATGTCTGAATGTGCTGTTTTTAATGTCTGGGACATTTTTGCGATGAGTTCATGTGATAAGCCAAGAGTGAGACGGGGTAAGCAGTGGTCGATCGATTTGAGATTTTATATGCACGTAGGTAAGTTTGAATGTGGATAACGCATTGCTATTAATTTGAAATCAGTGTAGCGAATCCTGTCAAGACATGAATAACGAAGAGTTATTCAAAAGGCATTCCATATTGTTGTTGGGTTTCTGAACTCACAGCACAATTCCTCCATGTAGCAGTTGCTCATGTTTGAGAGAATTTCTTTTCTCGGTATACAGAGAAACTCTAATTTGGCGTTGACACACGTGTTAGGATACAGGCAGCATGGTCTCTGAAAATCCAATAGATTCAGATCTCTCAAATCAGTCCCATTGGTACACGTCCCCTTCAATTTT